CTGCAGTCTTGAAGTCAACTAGTCGTACACCTTCAGCTGAAATATCTTATGATTTATTTGCAATTCGAGACATACTTAATTGCAACAGTAATAATAATTTCAACTGGAATAATCTAATGTTTTGAATAATGATTCTTCATATGTGGTTAACCTGTTTGCTTAATAATCTGGCAAATAAGCTTTCGACTCAGGTGGTGCACTTGATCTTAGACTCCTGATGGTCTCCAGATTTGTACAACAGTTTCATTGGTCATAGTATGCTAGGGAAGTCTAAATATTAACTTGGTCGATCGGAACTTTCTATTTGAAGATCAGGTGGATCATGCAACTCTTTTTTTCTTTTCAGGTTTTTCCTTTTATGGTTTTACTATTAAGAGATTTTATTAACACATTTCTTAGTTTTGTTAAATTAGGTTTTTTTTTTTTTTCCTTTATCTTTAGTAAGAGTAGAATAGTCTTTTGATTTATTTTGCAAGTCTATATAAACCTTATTTTCTGATGTTATTAATTAACGAAAGTGAATGAGAAAAACCCTAGCATCTTTTCTCCCCAAATTGTTTCTAGATTAACAAGTTTGACTAAGAAAGTAAAACATTTGGTGGTTTTTCTTTTAACTTCTGGGTTTAATGTTAGTGTTTTTCTTGATCATAATCTAGCTTTTAATTCTCTTTGCTTTTGTGTGCTTCAAATTTTGGGTTGTTTTAAAAAAAAAAAAAAAAATTTGTAACTTCGTTTTCCTTATTTTATTAATTTTAGTGTAAAGATTTTGGTACGGAATAAAGATCGGAATTGCATTCCAATACCTTATTAGGATGTTTTCGCTGCCCCTAATTCAAGCTACTCCCTCTGATCATTTAAAATTAATGTCACTAACCAGGATACGTTGAGGAGATAATTCCAAATGAAGGACAAATAGTGGCGATTTGATTTGAAGTTAAATCTGCCCATTGATTGTTATTGAATTATTATACAAATTAGTTATTAAACAAAACTGAAACAAAGAAATTAATTAATGTAATCTGCTCATTACAATATCATATTCAATGCCCATAAAAAATGTCAAAACAAGTATAAAATTTGTAGACAATTAATTCGATTACAAATTACTAATTCTATAATAGTCTATAACTTGCCTTTTGTCTAAAGGGAAATTTTATTGGTACAAGGGAGTACAACCAAATAACGCTTAATAGGTAAAATGTATGTTGCAGGTCTGAAAATTGGCACATAAATCTCCTTTTGATTAGAACTCTACAATTGATAGAAACTTTTGATATTGAGAGCAACAACAATGCAATGTAGCACAAACTCCACCAAATAGACTCCATACTAAAGAACAAAGTGTGTACCCAAAAGGTGTGGAGACCACCTCTATTATCACAATAGAAAGTCAGTAAAATAATAAATACACACTAAAACGGTGAAAATAAAATTGTTTTTATTTGACAAATACAAAACTTAAAATAATTAAACAAGTAAAACCTAAATAACAATGATGAAAACTCCAATACCAAGCCGACTACCGCTGAAAATGGGCGAAGAAGCCGCATCACTGTCGGTGAAGCAAAACAGATTTAGAAAGAAAACAGGCCTCTAACGTGAGAGAATCACAAGCCGCTGCCCACCTACACCAAAAAGAAAAGGAACCCTTAGCAGGGAAAAGGAGATAGAGTAAACCTTGCTAAGATTAACTCTCACCTCAAAAATTTGTAATGGTGTGTAGTTTTTACATTACATAATCAACCGAAATATTAGACTTTGATCCAAATTTTATAAGCTGGCCTATTTTATGGTTTATTGTTTCTTTTTATGACAGAAGAAGATTTTCTATTAAAGCATATTTGATCATTGGTATCTAGGGCTTTATAAAGATCAGGCTCATATAACCTTATTGCCTATCTACTTTTGTGTTCTATAATAATATTATCTCATGTCACTTAAGCTATTTTACCTACATAATTTTTTAATTGATATGAAACAATATTTCTAATTAACATGACATTTTAATTACCGTGTCATGTTATTATTGAAGTGAAATTAAAGGAAACATGATGAATCCGCTTGTTGGGTTCATCCTCTTCGAGAATTAATTTGTAATGTTTCCATATATTATTGGTAGGGGGTTCAAAAAGCTCCCGCTCACTAATAAGTAGATTATTATTATTTTTTACTTTAAAAGAATTAATTTGTAATGTTATATTTGATTCTCTGCTATTCACAGGAATGCTATATATATGCTATATGATATTTGATAAATGCTTTGAATGGCTCTTTTTATCAGAAAATATTGTAAATAGTTAAATAGATCAGTATAAAAGCTACAGTCCAATTAGAATCTTTTAGGGTCCACGCACATATACATTTCTGCACTTCCCCCAAAGACTTTTTTTTTTTTTTTTAGGGAGTGAAGACACTTCCCTTAAGACTAGTTGCATCACCTTCCAAATAATGAATGAATCACTCATATTATTAAATAAATTTGATTATCCCATCCGTGTAGTACTACCTTACATAAGATAAACATTTCTAGTTAATGTTGACAACATCAATTGTTACCATACGATTGTTATCGTACCTTTTTTATACTAATTACACAAGACATAGAATAAAATTGCTATTACTATACTGTTTTATACTAAGAGAAATGCTAGCATTACTGTTTTTGTCCTCTTCACATTCATTGTTTGCCACGTGAACTCCACTATCTCATTTAATTATTTTATGTTCAAATAATAATATATTATGTTAGTGGAGTCTATGTATCAAACAGTGAATGTAAATAGTGACAAATAGAGTGATAAAAAATTAAGAATGATATTAGCATTTCTCTTTGTGCTAATTACGCTCAAGAGTACAATAAAGTATTATTCAATATCAATCGTCATTAGTCGTTGTTTCGGATACAATTTGTTACCATATATACCGTTGAATGTAATAGTACTCGCTTCAAAAGACATGCTTCCAAAGAAAGATTTTCCAATAATTTATTGTCTTTCATGTGTGAGATTTTGGATTGATCATATATACACATATATATAATATAAATATGTATACACAGATAACACATACGTATATGTACGTGTTATGTACATCAGATGGCCCACCTTCTTGAAAAGAAAATCAAAATACTGAGATCGCGTTGAAAATAATGGATGATTTAATTCCAATTTAGCTTACTTAATTTTGGTAAATGAAAACAAACGCATCTCATCTGCTCCGGCCCCAAAAGTCGGAAAATAATGAGAGGTCTGTATGCCCTGTGCCCACCATTTTTGGCTACAATTATGAAGTTCTTTGAATGCTTCCTTCTTATTTAGTGATATTATAATTTTGTTCCTTTCTCCGTAAGAAAGTAATGGAGGGCTTCCGAAGCCCTTTTCAATGCTAGCTGAAACTTTGGTTGTACTATACAGAGAGTAAATATATATATATATATATATTTGTTAGTTTACTAATTCATTCCAAAACCTCAAAAACTTAAGCTTTTAAGAGGTGTGCCAATAATAGTTTTTATATTTTAACATTCTTCCTTACGTGTAGGCTGGACAATGGACAATAGATAATTAATTAGAAAGCTCAACACGTGAATATTTAAGCTCAAGATATACTAAAGACCCAACACATGATAACAATTTAAATAGAAATAAAATTAAAAGTGCAATTACAGGGGTTTAAACTTAGAATTTTCCTCTCTGGTATCATGTTAATTTACCAATCTATCTAAAAAGCTTAAATTTTTAAGAGGTACGACAACAATAGTTTTTATATTCTAATATATATATATATATATATAGTTTTATGATGATGAGTAATATCTAGATTTGATAGTTCAAATTAAAGAAGAAATAAAATAAAAAGGAGAAAGATATATATGTGTGTGTGTAAGAAAAAAAAATCATCAACTGGAATTCAAAGAATATTATAATAGTGTGAATTCATGACGTCATACATTGAATAAACTGATAGAGAGAACAATTAGCGTCAAACACGCAGACCCAATTACAAGTTGGCATTCGCTACAGTATTTTCCTGTACCAATCAGACTAACTTCTAAAAATATTCAAAATGCAATATGTCACACGTATATTCTTTGAAATTCCTATGCCAATGATGTATATATATATGATTAAACAGAATATCATTTTAGACACCAAAATTAGACAGGTGATTTGAATATCTGGTTATCTTAGTAATAACTTTGATCATTTACGTGAAGCTCTTTATTGCAAATTCTTCCGGCCTCTTTATAAAAAGCTAACTACAATTACGTCTATAATTATAGTACCCTGTAGCGGAAATTAGTTACAGGAGAAAACCAACAAGAACAGCTAAAAAATTAAAAGAGTTACCATATAGTGGTCATAAGAAAACATGTACTATCATACGTATACTTTTGTGACATGATGAGATTACATCTAATAAGCACACACAAACGTTGAATAATTATTGAAACATAATTATTTTCCAATTCTTCTTAGCTCTCCTAGGAGATTTCAGTCAGACTGTTGTCTGGCAACCACATTCTTCATCTAACAAATAGACTCATTATCAGGTCCCACATATTTTATAAACCCTTTGGTTCCCCCCTCGGAAGAAAGATACACAATATATAATTAATATAATTATATTTATAAATGTATATACTTATTTGTGCGTGTATATATATATATATATATATATATTGTGTTTAATAAAAGTTCATAGTGCCCGTTAATTCAGTCACTGACGGAATGTGTTGGAAGCCAAACACAAAACCCCAAAAGAGTAGCTGCTCTAAGACACAAATTGAAACCTAAAGGTAGAGTACCCACCACTTCACCATTCAAACATTTCCTTCAAGCAATCTCTCACCCTCTTGCTCTTTCTACCTTCACAAAATTAAACCCATGTAGCCTTATAAGTACACAATATATATATACTCTCCAAGTTAGATATATTACATATATATATATATATATTCTTCTTTTTCCTAATTCTCTTTCTGAGTACTACATAGTACAATGGAAGAAGCTCGGCACTGGGTGTGGGCGAAGCGAAAGCGCGGTCTGATCAGTACTTCTCATGATCCTCATGTTCCGAACAAAGCGTCGTCGTATGATGATTCGTGGGAAGAACAAGCTTTCGCAGAAGATGCATCGGGTCCTCTCGGAGGGTGTATATGGCCTCCGAGATCTTATTCTTGTAGCTTTTGTAGAAGAGAATTCCGGTCGGCTCAAGCTCTTGGAGGTCACATGAACGTCCACAGGAGAGATAGAGCTAGACTAAAGCAGTCTCCGCCGGATCTCCACCGTGAAATCCTCCATCAAAATCATCTTCACAATAATAATATTCCTGTTCAGAATAGTATTCCTTTAATCACATCCTTCGGTCAACCCCAATACCCATCTCAAGTTTGTGCCTTGGTCTATAGCCCTAACCCTAATTCCGATCATGATCCCGCCACCGCGAATTTTATTGCACCTCCGCCTCCTTGTAAACAGAGTTGTCATGACAAGCAAGTCCTGATCCCTCCTTTTAATTCTTCTTCTTCTTCTTCTTCTTCTCCTCTTCTACAAGAAAACAATAAGAAGAGTTCAAATATAATAATTAGTCCTTCCTCTCAATCCTGGTCAAACTTGGCTAGAACTGACAGATATAACCATAACAATATTAGTAATCAGAAAAATCATATTGGAGGACATAAGATTTCAACAATAACTCATGTGGAATCTGCAGGATCATGTAGGGCTAAGGGAGACTATCATGTGAAGACCGATTTGTCAGTGAGTTTAAATTTGGTAGTCTGCCATTCTTGTCCAACTTTGTCAGGTACTGGTGAAGAAGAAGAGACTACTATGAGTTGCAAGAAAAGAAGAATTACCGATTCATCATTACAAACTTCTCCTAGATTAGTCGAATCACATGACGATGACGATGATGTTCCGCGGTCAACGGAATTAGCATTTGAACTCAGCCAAGATTGTTCCGAAGAAGACTTAGATCTTGAGCTCAGGCTTGGCGACCGACCTTATAAGGTAAAGTACTAGACCTTTTGGAACCCCCGGGAGTTCTGACTGATCTGATATATGGACATACATATATATGACTTGTACCTTTTGTTCATTTCTGTTGTTTGGCTTTTCGTACTTTTCAAGTTCACCTTTTTTTGCTTCACTTTAATTATATATGGTTTTATAGCTAAAAGTTTCCTGTTTATGATCTAAAGTTTGAATATTGTAACAATAACGATATACAATTTGGTACCAAAAAATTAAAAGCGTGAAAGTTCATTTTTTTTTTTCATGTAGAATATATATTTCTTCTTGTGATTTCGATATATTTTGTTTATAGCTGTACATATATACAAGAAATATAGAAAAGCATTGCACTTGTTGATGCGCGACGATTGTTTCCATGTTTGAGAGAAAATGGAGAAAATTTTTTATGATAATCCCTAAGCCAACTCATTAATCTTCCACTAGTGTACTATTCTCATAATTTGCAGCACTTTAATAGGGGAAATTTATTCTAGCTAGTACCTTAATGAGTAAACAGCGATATGTGTGTATCTAAATATATATATATATATATGTATATATATGTAATATATCCATCTTAATTTAGGGTAAAGTGAAAAAATCTACTGAATTTTTCGATTAACAAGTTGTCGCCAAAATGATTAACTAAATCTGTTTTCATTTCTTGTTTTTCAAACTGCACAGAGTTGCACTAGTGTCGTTGGTTGGCATGCAGTGTTAAACCTAACAGTAATACTTTTGGCCAGCCTGATCTACATATAATCAACTCATGTATAGACAAATGCATATTCAGAATTTATAGTTTAAGATGGAATATCTCGGTTTTTGGGGAAGAGAGAGAGACAGAGATGCTTTCTATTTCTTTTCTCTCACTTAGAGGAGAGGGAGAGAGAGAGAGAGAGAGAGAGATTGGAAGTTTATAGGTAATTAGATTAAGGTATAACTGTGGGGTTTAAGGAGTGAAGAAACTGACTAAAAACTGCATGGAATACCGTGAGCGCACTTTTTCCCATTCAGTACCTCACTGACATTCCATCAGATAAACAACTAAACTAACCCACAAAACACCGGATTACGAGCCTCTCAAAGCCATATATATAAAAATATATACACACATATATAAAGTCACATACATCCCAACATCGATTCCCTTTTCTCTTGTATTATTATCATCGCCATCAGATCTGTTGCACTTTCAATATGCCTTCCGAATACGTCCATTTGCTTGTGTTAACTCTCACTTTTTTCTCTCTCTCTCCTTTTCTCTTCTTAATCCTTCCAAAAAGCCCACCAACTACATGGAATCACTCTAATTAAGAATTTGCCATTTTTTTGTCATATCACTTTTTTTTTAATCATAAGAGAATATTATTGCATCACGATCCCCTTTAGGCTCTATAAAATCAAACCATCTTGTGTTTGTTTTTAAATTTCTAGTGTTTGCATTATTTAGTTATAACCATCGATCAGCAACAAACCCTATATACGTATTTGTAAACCATAAGTATACAGTAATAACTTTCTTTAAATATTACTCTAGTCTCTACCTATGAACCCAAAACCCTAGGCATACAGGAGACAAGGCGATCATTCCGGGTCGTTTTTTTCTTTCCTTTTTATGTCATTCGATGGAACTTCTTCCTGACTTAAATGGGATTTGCAGGGAAACTGAGAGAATTAAGAAAAAGTGGCTAAAAGTCTCAGAAGGAATTTAAGTCATACCGAACAAGAGTATTCCATTAAAGGGTTATGAAAGTGAGATTGTTTCCTATTAAATGATTAGAGTGATTCCATTAGGCTCGTGGGTGTGGGACTTTGTTTTCTACGATGCATAGATTGAAGGAAAAAATAAAAAATAAATATTGGTTTTACATATTGTATAATAATATACACATAAGAACTTGATCTTTATGGAAAGTGAGATCGTTTGCTGTGGCTTCTACTAAGTACCAGATTTGTGTAAAGACGGTTTAATGGTAATTGGTTGGGGTTTGTCTTGTTCGAGGCCATGAGTTGGATAGGTCTGAGAGTGTACAGAAAGGTCTATTTGAAGTTTTGGGAGGCATTGGCAGTGGTGCACATGGGCATCAGATGTCTTTTCTCTCTTCTTTCAAAGGAAAGTCAATATAGAATTGAGAAAATTGATTGGATATCACATATTCTCCATATTCTCCGTGTATACATACATACATATACATATATATATATATATATGTTCATGAGCTTGCAGGCGATTTCTTTGAATAGGAATTATGATAAATATTCCAAATCTTATTTTTAACGAATTAGGATTTTGAAGAATATTTTCCTGAGTCATTGAGTTAGTTGTTCATGGGGGAGTACAATTATTTATGGTTGTTTGACAGCTAAGGGGTATATTTGCATGGAACGAAGTTCCTCACGAGCTCACTTCACATTTGCATATATATACAAACACATGCATATATACATATATAAGATATAGACACAAACTTTAGATACATTCTATAGTACTCAAGTAGAGTAAAAACTCGTTAGCTTAAAGCATTTATAGCATGTGGGACGAAATTTAATTTATAGTAAATTCGTGCTCGTGACTTCCCGTTAAGAAATTTTAAGGCAATCTTTACATTTTCGTTTTGGTTTGGAAAATGTTTTCTAACCCGAGCGGGTTATTTTAACGATGCAACGTGTATAGCCTAGTTGTCTTATTTTCATTTGCTTTTCTTTTTAAGCTAACTGTTTGCGTGTAACTTTTCAGCCTCATGACTGAGGTTCGATCGGTTCGGTTCTAACCGAACGGAACAAACTCCAAACCAAAATCAAACCGACCAGAACCGGTTCGGTTCCATTCAGTTCACCTGTTGCTTTGTTTTAACTCGGTTCAATTAATATTTAGGTAGTTTTAGTCGGTTTTTTCAGTGGAATCGGTCAGAACAGTTTTTACCCTTGTACCATACAACCAAAACAATATATTGAACATGTTTTGGTGTACTTTTTTTTTGGTTGCTCAAATTTGGTTTTTTTCTTTTTTTTTTTTTTTTTTTTTGCTTGCTGCTGAAATTTGGGTAAACTTAATATATATATATATATATATATATTTATATATATATATATAAGCATGACGCATGACCAGCCTTCGTTAACAGTAAAGCATAAAAAAAAAGGATAAGAAGGAAAAAACTTATTGCCCATAAAGCCAGAAGCTATAACCCACAAGCTTTTTGCTTTTATCAAGCAATCTTGGAACAAGGATCAATATTGACTTTCATGTACTGTTTTGCAATTTGCTTCCAACAAGATTTTCCATGAATTGAATGAATATCAAACTTACAAAGACAGACGAGATGCACAAAAGGGGTTGACCCATCGATATTCACCGTCACCGTCACCGTCATCGATAAAGGTAGAAATGGATGATGAGAAGAAGACCAGAGTTGGGGTTAATGATCGAATAGTTCATGCATGGAGATTTAGGGAGTTTAACGCAGTTAGAGAGTTTTATTTTTAATTTTTTATTGAGATGATGCGTCAAAAAGTTATAGGAGGAGACAAAGTTTAGGACAAAGAAAATGGACAGACGATCTCAGTCCAATCAACGCTCAGCAATACACAATTTACCGAAATTATATTTCCAATCAAGAAGGTAATCTATGAGATTATGTCTGGTAATCTACCAGATGCCCTCAGAAGCTAGTCTACAACGCCGATAACCGGCAAGCTAGCCGTCGATTTTTTACTGTTGATAATAATTAAAATAAGTAATATGGTAGATTACCAAAAAAAAATAAAGAAACCACTAGATTACTTTTTTTCTTTAGAGAGCGAAGACATTCGAATAGTTTTGGTTTTTATTTGAAAATAAAAATAATCATGTAGTTTACATAAAATAATCTATCATATTACTCTCTTGACATGAAGTTGAGATGATCGACTTTTTTAAAAATAAAAATTTGTCCAATTATTAAAATAATCTACCAGATTACTTTCTGTGACCAACAACTGTCTTCTACCGACATATGGTAGATCACCAAAGGTAATATTGTAGATAACATTTTTTATCAATGGTCGTAATTTGAGAAAATTACATAATTTATCCTTAAGAGTATATGGGTCTGGATTTGTACCCTTTAGTCTTAATAAATACTCTTTTGTTAGTGTAATTATTTGACTAAAAAGGTTATAAATAAAAAATAAATGGTAAAAATCCTGACTCATGCACTTTAAAAGAATATTTATGAAGATTACCCTCGTAATTTTAGTAACACATGTTGTTGTCATTTGAGGGATAGTATTGAAAGAGTCATTATTTGGAGGGCAGAAATAAATTGTGACTTTTACAAGGGGCATACTTGTGTGCTTTTTTCCTTAAGATTACTCAAGCGGTTGCCTTAAGATTATTTAAATTTAGCTCTGAAAAATAGGATTGCCTCATTTTAGCTCTTATAATTTTGAATGACATAAAACTGACCTCGAACTTATTAAAAAGTTACAACTTTGATACTTACTTCAATGAAAACGCCAATTTTTTAATTTTTTAAACACATATATGTCACATAACTGCTTACAAAGAAAAATATAGTAACTTGAAACATGTTAATATATTTTAGAATTTTGATAAAAGGTATTTTTTACAAAAATAAAAAATAAAAAATAAAAAATGCAAATGTTTCCTCGCTTTGACCACAAGTATGGCTGCCTACTTTGCTCATAATCCTTGCATCATCATTGCCCTCTTATATTGACTTTAACAAATGGGTCACGTGATCTACACATGTTTAAAACCAGGTTTCATCAAAGTAAATACCAAAATTGCCACTCCGATAAGCTTTGTGGCATTTTATTTTATAAGGCCGAAAGTGTGACAACCATATTCTTCTAGCCATTTAGGGTTAAATTTGAAATAACCCTTGTTCAAGCCTAAAAACACCACTTTCCGGTTGTGTCAACGACACACCCACACGGACTTTTCCTCCAGTGAAATAATTTCACTCATAAAAGGGGTAGCATGTAATTACATTTTTTTCTTT